AATCCCAAATCCTCAATGGGTCGATTAACATGGACAGAATGCATACAATTTGGTTATGAATACTTTTGCAACAGTTAATATCCATCGTGCAAATCAGCGTAGGGACAAAAATTCATATTGTATTTTTCACTTCCGAGATATGGAAGAACTTTACAGTGTACGTGATGCTATCGAAACTTTACATCCCAATGCCTTTTGCATTCCATCTTCCTACCGTACTTATCTATTCCTGGTGGTCAGCTTACACCAATTGGAGCGGCAAGGTATCTTTTCAAGAGAGGGGAAGAGGATGTTAAACCTGATTTTGTAGAAGATAAACGATTTTTTAATATTCATTAGTAAAGTCAATTTTCAGAATTTAAAAATTCAAATCTTTAGTTGTTATAATTATTATAAATAAATAAAGTCAAAATTATATTTTCGCTACGAAAATACTTGATCAAGAAACTAACTGAACTTTGTCCCGAATGCATCACAAATGGTTGGTTTTACACATGTAATGTAAATCACATCCAATTTATTCTTATAACGGATGTCATAATGGAAGTTTGGTTGTTGGTAGCAGTTGTTTTGAACTTATTGCTTGGGCATATCAAGGACAAAAAAGATGAATGTAGTTTTAACACCAAATGGACATAAAACAGAGTTTAACTCAATTATGCAAAAAAAAAAAGTAAATATAATTATTACATATGCAAAACTTGCCTCTAGGGTTATATTATTATTGTTGATATTAACAATGTTATTCAAAAATCAAATTTTCAACAACAAATAATTAATTTCAAATAAAAGCTTTTTTTTGAGAACTTTGAATATGAACAGCAAGTATAATTAATTAGATAGTGCAAAAGTAATTTGTTTAATTTCAATTTTTTGTGAAGCTTTGCATTACGTCCTCAGTTTTATAAGCTTGTTATTATTTTAAAAAATCAATCAAAAAAAAAATAATAACTTGTTCTGTTTATATTACAAGATCTATTATGCTTAGAAACTCACCTTTCCTTATTTATTAATTATAATAATGCATTCAATTTTTGTACTTATTTCGGTTGCTTGCTTGTTGGTTGCCTTTTATTCTTTTCATAATTTGGATGACTTCCCCCGCGTTGTCGAGTAAAAATGTTTATACTGATTTATCAACAAACTACATATCAATTATCATTTCTCATCAGATTTTATATTATCAAAAAAATATGTTTTTTTGTGGTATTTGTTATATGGTATTCAAGAACTAAAATTGGTAGAAAAAAGAATTGTTTCTTCTTAATCACTAATCACTTTTATAATAGAATCTAAATAAGATCTAATTTTTTTTTTTAAGCCCTCAGAACTATTTTTCCAAAAGCATCTAAAAGTGAAATTCACAAATATATGAAACAACTTTC